CCTGCCTACACTCACATCCTTCCTATCATGGGCCTCGCCCCTACTCTGCTAATATCGAGACATGGAATCCCATCCATACTCAGCTAGTGATGAAATTCGGGACCTTGCCCACACTCACCTCCCTACCAGGCACATACTAGTATCACAGAGACACAAGTATAGTCAAACATACAACATAAGAATCTTCCTCGGGATTGCCGTGACATCGGACCCCCGGTCCGGAGACATACTATCATCTAACATACCTCGGTCTTAACCCGTCATCGGATCCTCTGTCCGGAACCTATTGTATCATCACATGCAAGAATCACAAAGACCTCTATCGTCCTAACATTCCTCGGGCCTCACTCGGCATCGGGTCGTAACCCAGAACATATAACCACAAGTGCCTAGGGCTAACCCTCGGGTCTTCATTCTATACTTAAACATAAAAATGAACATAATAATAATGGGCCGACATTGTGGTCGTAGACCCATGCACATAGTGAGGAGACTCACCTCACAATACTGAAAACTCGTTGAACACTTCTGAATGCTAACCGGTAACTTCTGAACTGCTGACCCTTCGTCTTCCTGAACTATCAATACCCAAAATAACATTTAGACCACAATATTCCCAAAAGTCAACCCAGGCTAAAGTCAACCTCCAGTTGACTTGATTCGTCGAGTCGATCTACCAACTCGTCGAGTCCATACTCCTCCAACCCCATACAACCCCGACTCCACTCATCGAGTCTAGCAAGAACTCGACGGGTTCTCCTTCAACCATACCATTGGGACCATCTTCATCCGACTCGCCGAGTTCGACCTTGAACTCATCGAGTTCATCATCCACATAAGAATGTGTCTAGGCCGTGACTCGCCGAGTCCATCTTCATAAACTAAGGAGATTGCCTTAGAATCGCTGAGTTCTTCCTTGAACTCATCGAGTACGAAGAACTTCATGACCATTATGGACTCATACTGGCCGAGTCCCTAACCACTTAACTCATACCCTTTTACATAAGGGTTTTGGGGCAATAACTGTCCTGACTCGCCAAGTCCCACAAGTGACTCGCCGAGTCTCTCTATGTCCAACTCTATTCAGATGATTTTGGACAAGTTCAAGGCATCCCAGACCCATATCCAATCTCCTAGGGTCAGGATATTACACGAAGCCACTACCTTTGCACTCACACATGGCCCTTTTTGCTCAAAAGGCTAAAAAAACTCCTTAAACTTTGCATGGGGAGTTCTAATGGCATAAAGTTTCCACCTTTATGCTTTTACTAGTCAAGACACTCCTAGATCTGAAAGGATCTGGCTTGGGGACGTCCAAATCCCACAAAAAATCACCCTTGGTCCATAAACTTCATAAAAAGGGACATAAAGAGATCTAACAAACTAGAAGTCAAGGAAGTAACTTGATTACCAAAATGAGCAGCAAATGGAGTGAATCTACTAGATCTACTCCTTCCTCCTTAAACCTCCAACCTTCTTCTTGTTCCTCCAAGCTTCAAGAATGCTCCAAAACTCTCAAAATGACTCATAAGTCATAACTCAACGGAGGCTCTAGGGTTTTCATTCTGGACTTGAGAGAGTATCAAGGGGGCTGATGGAGGCTATAATGTTCCTTAAATAGGGTACAAGGCCCGCATTTAGGGTTTTCCCCAAACCTAGCCAACTCGTCGAGTCAGTCTTCTGACTCGTCGAGTAGGTTACTAAACCCGCGACAAAATCGCGCTCCAACTCGTCGAGTCACCCATCTACTCGACGAGTCACTTCCTCATTTGAGGTTTTCTTCTCTTTTCTAGCCTCCTGAATTCAGGGTGTTACAAATACCCTTGAAATGCAACAGAATAATAAGCCACCAAAAAATAATAATGACAAAAACTCAACCTTTTGAGATGTATTTTCAGGCACAGGCGTAGAAGCCGTACATGACATGTGAAAGGTTGAATTCAACATGTTTGGCTTATCTTGTTTAGAAGATGAGCTATTTGCAACTGCCAACATTTTCCGGTTATCAGACACATTTATGTCTGCTGACAAATAGCTTTGTGTTGGACCAGAACCACAGAAAAACAAAAGGTATCAAGAGTAAGTATAATTATTCGAATTTAAAGAATCGTTCCAATATAAACAAAATCATAATATCTTCGTTGGACAATACATATGTCATATTTTCTTTAAATGTTACGTACAACTGTAAAGTTGATCTTAATTTGTGAAGAAATTTGAGCTAAATATGGAGGTTGTCATCTCAAACTTTGAAGCTTTTAGTATTGTTTGTATTGACCTTTTGATTTACTATTTTTTTGGTTTATAATTATTTTACTACCCGTAATTCATTTATGATGACTTCCGTTAATTTTGATTGCTAATTATGAATCAAGGTTTTGAATCTTGAAACAGGTGCTTCAGGAACGCCCTCTCTCTTTTTAATCTAAACCTGAAAGAGGTAAATTTATTTGTTTTTTTAATTCAATCTTTAATTTGTCTATTTTTTTTCTGATGCTCGTTGCTAAACATGAAAACGCTGATGTCGTAAAAACCCTACTACTTGACACTTGACATTGGTGGTCCATGGAACGCCCTCTTTTTTAATCTATCTTGAAGGACGTAAATTTGTTTCATTTTTTTTTCAATTGAAGACCACCTGCTCGACAATTAATCTATCATCTTTCTAGCTGGTTGTTAATTATGTTGTGTATGTTTGTATTGAGAGTTAATTGGTCTGTGTGCTTTATGATTTTTACTGTGTTTAGTCTAAAGTTGAAAGTATTTCAGTTTTGGACAGAACATGATAGAAACCAAAGTATATGAAATTGAGTTGATAAATTTGAAAAAATTATCATTTCTATTTGTTTCATCTGTTATATAGTTTATTTGACTACAAATATCCCAAATTCAATTTTTATTTAAGTTATTTTTTATTTATTTTATTTTTAAACTTGGCGTAATTTTCTCCTTCATGGATGCTCTTGAAACACAGTCCATAACACCATTTGATTATACAAAAAAAGATAGATAACATTTCATAAATATTTCCAACCCCCGCAATACAGGGGGCCTTCTCTAGTTTTTACTGAAAAAGAAAAATTACAAGTGTTCTTGATAGAAAAGTTTAAGAGCTACAAACAAGAAAAAAAATAGTAAATAGTAGCTAAGAACCAAACCATAACGAGCTAAAGGCTAAAGAGCTCATAAACATATAGGCAATAACATATGAGCTAACATGGACATTTTGGTTGCTTGGACTAAAAGGAGTCATATGCGTTAAGCCTCACAACAACCCTCGCCAAGGGAGATTCATCGTCCGACCAACCAGAAGAGAGAGGAGAGAAAAAGTGGTAAAGATGGGCTATAATTTGTTTATATTTTTTTTAATCTTCTTTCAAAATCAAACTTATTTAAATGACATCACCACCACTCCACAACTTTTTCAACGTGACCATCTAACCACTTAAAACAACTTAAAAAAATAATAATATAACACACCACTTCCATTTAGTCCTCTCACCTTAAAGAATCAATTTGTTTTTTTTTTTTTTTTTTTATTCTTTCACTTTAGCAGCACACCACTCCTACATTTAGTCCTCTGCTCTTCTCACGTAAACATTTTTTTCTTTCACTTTAAAAAATTAAAAAATCAAATAAATGGATGGATCAAAAATTTCATGTATGAATACGACAATGACCCATTTCCAAAAAACAGAATACGACAATGACACTGTTTATTGGCCCATCGGCCCAATCTCACCTTTTGCGAGGGTTCTAGTTCTACTGCCACCGTCGAATTCCGCACAACCACCACCAGCCGCCAGGTTCTTATTTCATATTCCCATCCACCTCTCTATTTTAATTGATCTGCAGGTGAATCTAACTTTCTACGATCAAACTGTTTGTTCGATTCCATAGCTCCAAATCACCTTAGATCAATATGCAAAGCTTAAGAGATTCTATGCTTAGGCATCTAAGGATCACATTATCTACAAGACAACTTATCTTAACCAAAAGTGTCATCAATCGACAACTTTGCACATCCACCCACACCCACTCCAACTCCAATCATGATCAGGTAATCGCTCGAGTGATTGGGCTCGTAAAGAAATTTGACAAGATCGATACCACTAAGGTACCCTCAATGCCCCCCATTTTTATGATCGAGTAGATTGTTCTTTTGTTTACTAAATCCCAATTTTCAGTTTATATGGTTCTTGAAATGTGCGATGGAATAATTGCAAAGAAACAAAACCATTTCATAATATATGTATCTATTCATCTTTAACAGGTTACTGGATTAGCTGATTTTCAGAAAGATTTAAGTCTTGACAGCTTGGACAGGGTAGAGCTTGTCATGGCTTTCGAGCAAGAATTCTCCATTGAAATCCCGGATGAAGAAGCAGATAAACTCAAATGCTGTGCTGACGTTGCCCAATACATCATTTCAGCCGCTAAACAGGATTCTTGATCAATTGTTTCTCACATTTGTTTATGACTTGTTGATTATACTGTTTAAAACCTTCAACAAGCCAAGGTGGTGTTTTTGTGTACAAAATATCTTAAAAGTATCTATGTTTGATAATCTCATTGTATTTCGTTTTCACTTATTATGAGAAATGAGAAATAGGGTATACGCATGGATTTTCACCTCTTTAGTGGTAAAACAAGGGTTTCGGGACACCAACTAATGATAAAAAGGTTGTAGTTTATGATCAAATACGTATAAATTGTTTCATTATTCAACAACTATTCCCAATTCTCATAAGCCATAAGGTCAAGAACCGTTACATTATGTATGTACATCCTCCATAAACATGGAGAGTTAGTTAAATCACAATGAAACATGAGACCTTTCACTTATGGATTGACATCTTACAATTTGGAGGCAAAGTTACTTATAAGCATAAAACAAGATAAAGATCCACAACTCTATGCTGCGACTAAAGCGCCTTCTAACATGAGGAGTGGCTAATGTCCAAGTATCTTGCTAGAATGTGTGAACCATGGGGTTCACTTCACATGGCTTTGTTTCTTGATGCATGCTTTTTAGGCCTCAAATGAATATGATGAGTGGTGTATGTTCGAAATCCATTCTTGACTGATGAAAGCTTTATCCTTGTGTGGTGACCATTGAGAGCTAGGTGGCAAGGAGAGGTCTTTGGTAGGTGAAGAATTCTCACAATGCATCTTTTTTCCATATTTGGAACTGCATGGAGATGGGAGGGAAGATCGATGAGGAAATCTCCATATTCATCGGTCCTCCCTTTTGTCCAATCCAATTTACTTGTTTTCTTGCCCGTGTTACACGAAACCACCATGGATGCTCCTGATATTTCAATATATGTTTCATAACAACTCATACAAGTCTATGACATGATTTATAGAGTTTCTTTTGTTGGATGAAATGGAAGATCGATAATTAAAATGAACAGCCTAATGAGATAACAAAATCTGTCGCTACAAGTGTATGTATGATCATGTTTGATTGCCCTATAGAAATTAAATAGAGTTTATTTCTATATGATGATTTTTTTTATATAATATGTAAGTGCAATATATAGTTTTAACTCTCTTAGATAGATGCATTGTCCAACTACATGCCACTCAAGATTGAAGCCTTTTGGAGTGCTTATATCCCAACTACTGTATTGTATTTTTTATTTACAAAAATAAGAAATAAAACATATATTCATTAAAACCCAATTAAAATAACAAACATTGTTTTCACGTTACTTTTTAGAAAATAGAACTTTAGTTTAACTAAAATCATAAATGTTTTTCGAAGGATTTATGTTAGTAAAAATTACATAAATACTAATGATAGCATTGTAATTTTCTTTTCATTCCATACCATGATAAAATGGAAAATAAAACAGCACAAAGCTAAGGAATGAAACTTAGCAAATAGCATCCGTGGAATGAAATCTAACAAAATGGAAGGAATAAAGTTGGTTCTATTGCATTATTGGAAAAACAAACAACATTTTTGTAATGAAGAATTCCATTTCTTTCTTGATTCAATATGACGGGAACTAGCATAATACAAAAGCATACCAGTGATGGGATTTGATTGAAGATTGGAAATTCCATCCAAAAAAACATCACAGAGAAGAGAGCCACCAACCACCACCGTAGAGAGCTTCTCCTCACCATATCCGGCTGCACTTCTTAAGAAATCATCACTAGAAACCTCCGCCAATGGGTTTCTGGCAGTGGTTGTGGGTGGCCGGAGAAAAATGAAGAAGATGAATAACATGATTGCCATTAAAAAAAAAAAAAAAAAAACACACTTAGGAGGGACGAAATGGGGGAGACAATGAAAAGCTACCAGCCTATTATTTATACTGGTAATGCTATGCTTGTGCATGGGGTTTAATCGAGATTTATTGCTTTGTTAGACTTTGAATAATAGTAAAGATATGAAGTTTGTGGGGTTAGAATATAGTAAAGAAATGGTTTTTCGTAAATGTTCTTGTGATTGTGTACCTACTATGACATTTGACCCGATTTTGATATGTAATTTTCCATAAAAGAAGTACCATCTAATTCAACATGTGTGTGAGAGAGAGAGGGAGTTGGGTAGTCAAGTTTTAGCAAACCATTAATTAATGAGGAACAATAAAGTTTCCTTTCCTTTCTTTTTAATCTTCGCTTATCAAACATAAATAAAAAGGAAAAAAGAAAGTTAGTTTATGTATCATGTGTTGATTTAAAGCATTGTGTAATATTGTTGTTTATTGGTTTAGCTTTAGTTAACATAATGATAGGGAAAATTCGAGATTATGTATGATGTTGTGGCTATTAATTTCTTAGCATAAGTGGTACAAATTTTGGAAGCAATAGGTTAGCCACAAAAAGGAAGGGGGAGGTAGGCAACCAACCAAGTGATATTGCAATCCCAAAACACTAGCAATCAAGTAATCTCATAACATTTCTCTTAAACGGGTCTTAGTTTTTTTTTTAATAAGAACAACTGGTTTTTTAGTTTCGGTTTGATTTCGTTATATATAAAAACCAAGATTCTTGAAGTGGCGTTTTATTTATAAGTTTAATTGTTTAAGTATGCTAAAGATTATAATAACAACATGTACTTATGGTTTCCATTGAAAATTAAGACAATAAACATGTATTTATGTTCTTTTGTATTGTATCTAAGTGAAATTGCTTATATTTTGTTAAATTCCATCGTCACGGGTAATGTAAAAACCCAAAAAATAACAATAACAAAAAACCAAAACCAAAAAAGTTTGGATTTGGGCAAAAACCAAACCAACTAAATGATGATGACCAATGGGTCAATGGTCTAGCGGTATAGAGTGATCATCATGAGAGACCAGGGGTTCAAATTTAGATTGGGACATAAGTGATTATTTAGGACTAGATTAATTAGTTTGCCGTTTAAAAAAAAGGTAAATGATGATGCCCCATAATTAATTCCACACAATAAATGGACTTAAATATTACAAAGTAAGTTTTTATTTCTTTAAACATTATGATATTGATTATGACATTGAAGTACACTATAAATTTTAATTTCTCAAGATGAGGATGTTGTTGTAATGTTATTTTCTAATGATATATAAACTTAAAATAATGCAAAGCTAGTTCTCTAATATTTAATACTAGTATTATCTGTTAGAGAAACCTGTTATTGTAGGCCCCCATAGTTTCCATCTCTCTTCTTATGTATATCTTCACCATATACTTGAAAAAAAATCATGTTTCCACAAAAAAAATTGATCAGCATATTCCTCAAATGTTTTCACTGAAACACATTATGGTAGTTTTAAAATACTTTTCAAATCATTAATTTGAAGTCCCAAAATATTTTTAAGTTCAAAAAGTGTGGAAAAACAGTCCCCAATAACAAAAGCAAGAGTTTAAACTTTAAAGTTAAAAAATAAAAATAAAAAATAAGGTCATAACAATTCAATATCATAACATAGTTCAAATAAAATATCATTTCTAGTTTCTACTCAATCTTTGTCTTGTTCAATCTAAGCATAAGCATATATATATATAAGTATAGTTAGACAATGAAACGCCTAGTGATGTGACATCCCTTGTTTTTTTTTTTTTTTTTGTCATTTTTATAACTAGATTAAATCAAATTTAAAACAAATCATTTATTTTAATACGGAAATTCCCAGTTAAAAAACATTTTAAATTTTAAAACAAACTATTATTATTACAACACTCTCAAAATATCATATTGCCTATATCAATGCATAAGCAATCCCAAAAATAGAAGAAGACAAAGCATAAATGGAAAAGTTTTCCTAGACATTAGTAATTGGTAGTTTGATTTATGTAATAGTTTCCCTGCACATCATCAATTGGTAGTTTGATTTATACAATGATATGTACTTGACTAGATATTGCTCATGTAGTGATAGTTGTTAGTAAATTTATGTCTAATGCTAGGAAGGAACATTAGAAAAGAGTCAAGTGGTTAATCGAAGTGCTTTTGTTTACTAGTAGATCTTTATTATCGTGTTTTTGTTTATTGAAGTGCTAAATCCCTAACACATCCCGAATGAATAATTGAATGAAGTGGAATAAATAATTAACATTAAGGTGAGCAAAATAACTGTTGGAACTGAATCAGACTCGAAATCATTTTGGAACCGAATATGTAATTCGATTCGATTCGGTCATGTCCGGTTCTAGACCCTAACAACTATTAGTGAGCAAAATACTGGTTGGAACTTAACTGAACCAGAACCGTTTACAACCGACTATATAATTCAGTTCGGTTCTTGTATTTTTGGTTCCATTTCCGGTTCGGTCAGGTTCGAGAACCAAGCTCACTACTATGTTTACATATAATGAATTAAACTCAATAATAAGACCATCTCCAATTAAAATCTATTTTTTACACACACAAATAATGTAAAAAAGTGATGTCAATCAGTGTTGCAAAACTCGGTCTACTCGGCCGAGTACTTGGAATCGGCCCTCCACTGAGGCGAGTTATGTGAACTCAGCAAAAAAAATCGGATTAAGTCAAACTCAATCAACCTCGGACAACATCTCTCTAACTCGGTATTACTCGGGCTTACTCAGTCAACAAAGTCAAACTCAAATACACTTAATGCTTTATTATTTAACACACACATATGATTCTTACTATATATATATATATATATATATATATATATATATATATATATATATATATATATATATATATATATATATATATATATATATAAGTGAATATACCCTTAAGGGTATATAAGCTTAGGTATGGAAACTCACCATACTATGTCATTTTGTATCATATATATACATTGTAATCGTCTAATATTCTTATAATTTAACTTCTAACTTGATTTACTTCCAAGATTTTAATAAATTTCACATTTATCTTACTCTTACATAATTTCCATTTTCAACTATAACATATATAGCCTAGTAGATGTTTGACAAAAAGTTGTAATGTAAGAGGAAAATAATAGTGAAAATTTGAAAATCTTGAAAGTAAATCAAGTTATGGATTGAATTTTAAGAACATTATAATGAATATATCAAACAAACCGACGTATTATGGTGAGTTTGGGTATCTAAGCTTTTATACCATTAAGGGTATATTCATTTTTCCCATATATATATATATATATATATATATATATATATATATATATATATATATATATATATATATATATATACACACACACACACACACACACACACACATATATATATATATATATATATATATATATATCTTAAATTTTCATTGATTATTCATGAAGTGAAACAATTGTGTGTATTTCAGTTTTTATGTATTTACATATACCTAATTTTGTTATATATTTCAATCAAATTATGATTTTAACTTTTGATTTTGACATATATAATTTTCCTAAATATATTTCATGAATTACTGAATCCGAATACTCTCATGTAACACCCAAAGTCAGGAAGGCCAAGAAAGGAAAGGAAACCCTAAGTTTAAGGGACGACTCGTCGAGTCCAAGGAGGAACTCGGCGAGTCCGAGCGGGATCCGGGTCAAGGATGTGACAACTCGAAATTTCCATTTTGAACAAACCACATCGATCCAATAGATGTAGAACAATTACAGTGAAAACTCAAACTTCGAGTATAAGTTTGGCAGTTTTCAGGATTTTACACTTAAGAAGATATTAGGAGAGTGGATGCACTAGGGTTTTGTGCAACACTGTTATTCCAATACTCTAGGACATTAGAGTTCGTTTCAGGAATAAAAATATTTTCTGCCAAAAATATCTCAGGACTATAAATAGAATTCTGAACCAAATTGGTTCATTAGTTACATTCCATTTAGAGAAAAGTCAAAATTCTCTCTCACGAATCTTCGGGTTTTTATCCCAAATTGTGAGTACTTCGATCTAGTTATATTATATAGCTTAGATTGTGTATTATAACATCAAAATCGGACCAAAACCCCAAGATTTGGGAGTTTACCGCCCAAGAACACTTGGGGAGTAAACTCCATTTTAAGGGCTAAAAGTGTCCCAATGTCCCTCAAAGCTTTAGAACTCAAACTAGAAGCCTTCATTTCATATTTAGGACACCAAAATCATTTAGAAACAATGATGAAAGTGAGTTCACGGCCAAGGAGCTTCTTGGGCCGTGAACTCCATGTTTAGGTGCCAAAATGCTTTGAAACACTTCCTAAGGCTTAGACTTAAATAAGGACAAGTACCCTAAAGTGTTTATAGCCTAGAAAACATAAAGAATCACATGTGTTAAGGATTTTACGGCCAAGACAAGTTCTTGGGCCGTAAACACCTATAAAGGGGTCAAATGACACCCTAACTCCTTCCTTATGCCTAAAACCCAACATAGATCATTACCTAGAAATGTTTGAGACTTGAAAACACCATAACCACCCTCCCAAGGGATTTTACGATCGTAAACTCCAAGGGAATATGGTCCCTGGGCCGTAAACTCCTTAAAGGAGTTAATATGACACCCAAACACTTGATTTAGCCTTGAAACAATTCACCAAACTAGTTGTATAAATGATAGGCTTCATTTGGAGACCTTGTTGAGAGTTTACGGCCAGGAGTTTACTCCCCTGGGCCGTAAACTCCAAAGCACATGGTCATTTGACCATAAACTCCCATTAGAGGCTTTGCACTCCTTGGTTGCAACCCATTAGCCTCCTAGCACTTGACCAAAAGTGTTTTCCCCGCGTTAAAACGTTTATACTTGTATAATTAGTGTTTTAATCACTAATTATTTATATACATATGTCTTCATAT